GGGTGTCTGAGATGATATAAGGCTGACAGCCTCATGGGGAAGCACAGTTGGTAACTCTATTCAAGTCATGCAAACCAATACATAAAATGCTTTACATTTATTCCATTGCAGGCATATATAATGATAGTTTCTAAAAACTTCCTTATAAAAATATTATATATTATTCAAATAAATGCAAAACTAAGACTTCAACTAGAAGCTCGAATTATTTAAACTTTATTTTTTTAAATAGGTATTTCTTCATTTTGGTCATTTCTAATGTTATGTATTCATAATTTGACATTTCAATTTGGATACCTTCCTAAAATATAATGTACATATTTATATCTTACTTGTGCCCCTTACATCTCTACTTTATAACCTTATATTTTATTGTCTATAATTTGTTTCATAGCCATTAGTTTGAAGCTTAAGCATGAAGGCCTGACATTGTCTTGGCTACCACACCCTGACACTATTAAGATGGTATGTTTCTACTGTGGTCCCACACTGGCAATTGCAGAAATATAATAAGCAACAGATAATAGGGGCTGGCAGCATAGCTCAGAGTGGTTGAGCACTTGCTGAGCATGTGTGAGGCCCTGTTTAATCCCTAGCACTACAAAACAACAACAACAACAACAAAAATAGTAATGACAGAAGATGTACAGGGAAAAAAATGCTAAAAAAAAAAATCAACCCTACTTAGTCACTTCTGAAAATAACTATACAAAAAAAAATCGTATGGTAAGATGCTCTTTTAGGTTTACTGGTGCCCAATAATTTTCTTAGGGGAAAAAAAAAGAAACTGATATAAAAATCTACTTAAGCTGAGAAGAGATTTTTTTTAAAGGTGGTTCGCTGAAACAATAAAATGCAGCCTAATGGCAAATAATCAAACATACAGTGGCAGAGTGAATACATGAGTGTGGGACCGCAGTAGGAACTCACCCAGAGCAGGACATATGAGCCCTCAGCCAGCCAAGAAAACAATGAGACCCTGGATGCAAAAGAGATGCTAAGTTGTCTGGGGCAGATTACATATGCAACAGTCATTCAGAGGAGAAACAATTCATTGGACATGCTGGAGGTCACTGTGCTGGGCCTTCAAAGTCAGGGGCAAGGTATCAGGTGGAGGATCAAAAGGGCCAAAAGATGGGAAGTGGACATTCCCAACAGAGGTATGCAGAGCCAAGCACTGATGGGTCTGCCAAGGGAAAAGATGACAAAATATTAGAGACAATATGATTGAGTTCAATTTCAACCTATCACAAGGCCAAAAGAGCTCTACTTTTAGCAATATAAACTATTTTCAGTATAGTAAAACTTCGTCAGATTTAGATGTCATTAATTTTGAATTTAGCAAGATCAGTTTATTTTAATGAAATATAAGATCAAAGAGCTTGTAAAGAATGGGAAAATGAATTTTATTACAAGCTTTTTAATCTACTGAAGAGAAAGATCATGGTGCAACAGAAAAACCCTGTGGGGCATCAGGTCCCTGAGGCTTTTATCCCATAGGTTCTCATAGACTCTAGCTTTGTTCTCGTGGCAAATCACATACCTTCTTCCAGTAACTGTTCAAGGGTATAATTAGGAGTTGTATAAGGTAAGTGGCTTCAAATTTGTTTTTAAGTGTTGTGAAACCCTTGGTTGTCCAAATGTATGCCTGTCCAGGAGGAGTACATATTCAGACTCCTGGGAAGCTGCTCTGGAAGGCCACAGCCTCAGTGGCCATCCTTAAACCTCTCTATCCACTCTACCACGTTCATTCCCCCAGTATGGAAACCAGAGCTGCTTCCTCAGGAATACAGGCTATCCATCCCTTGACTACAGATTTCCAAAGACTTTTCTAGTTTGAGATTAGGACTTTATCTTATCAGGTGCAATTATGCAGTAGTCAGTTAGTTAACAAGAGGAAGCACACTGAGTAACATAAACATACTTTAAATATTTAATTTTAACCCAAAATGTACAGACATTCATTCTTTTGCCAATATCTTGTTGTAGGGCTGAAGTCTTTTCTTTGAGAGGGAATCAACTGACTGGTACTCTGCTAAAACCATATCCATAAGGCACCATCTAAAATCTCCAGCCTGTTTCTTTACAGAAAGATCTTTACAACACTTGAAAATCACTCTCAGTTCAGAATTTTTCTAGATTTTCAGGATTTGTGTTTCTGGTCTTTTACTGTTGGCTTGCCCACATCTAATGACACAATAAATTTAAGTAACTCATATTTAACAAATGGTCTAAGTACTTGACTAACTTTCATAGAGATAACTCTTGTACTTATATTTCTTTGATTTATATGCAATACTATTTAATTAAAGTACATAATTATAATAACAAATGCAATCAATATAAATAGACTTGAAAATGAACAGTTGGTTCTTAGTGAACAATTCAACTGATGGGAACAGACTTGAGAATTCGGCATGCCTGTGTGTTTTCCAGATGGAAAGAGGAGTGTTATGTGGAATTCTGTTAAAAGGAATTTCATCAAATGAGTGGTTGAGAACATTTTTACTTTACATAATTCTATCTAACTTAAGCACTTCAGGAACTGCAATTTATAGGCAATTTTGTATAATTATAGGTTATTTTACTAATCGAATTTCTAAAGCACTAGGCTTCCAAGAGTCTTACTTATCAACACTACCAAGCATCAATGAATACATCATAAAGTTATTATTTGTAAAAACCTTGGGGGTAGTCAGCTTCCAGAACAGTTCCCAATAACTTGTATTTCCTAATATTCACACTTGTGGGTAACACCCTCCCACACTGAATCAGGGCTCATGCATGTGGCCAACATAATTGTAGGAGTGATGGTATGTGACTTCTTTGTTTTTAAATTTTTTTTTTTTAGTTATAGATGGCCACAACACCATCATTTTATTTTTATGTGGTGCTGAGAATTGAACCCACTGCCCCACACATGCGAGGCAAGCAGTCTACCACTGAGCCACAACCCCAGCCCAAAGTATGTTACTTCTGAGGCTCAATCATAGGAGGAATGGTACCTTTGGGAGGTCTCTTGGATCACACTCTCAGGGGGAAGCCAGCAGCCATATATTATTAGGATATTCAAGCAGCCCAGTGGAGAGGCCCACATGAAAAGGAGCTGAGTTTTCCAGTCAACAGCCAGCCACATGGGCCTTCATATGACTGTACCCCTAAGCAGCACCTGCAATCGATGAGACACTGAGCCAGAACCACCCAGCTAATAAGATGCTCCCAAATTCCTGTACCACAGAATTTTTCTTCCTAAATCCTTTCTGTAAGGACCACTGGGGTTCTGCACTGACTAAAGGGAGGGAAGAGAATCAGATTGGGAAGGAAGTGCCTTCCTGCTGCTGTCACTTCCATGCTCTCCTGTTCCACCGTGGTAAAGCTGCTGCTGCATCAGCTAGCAAAGGAGAAATGTTCACAGGGTCCAACTCCTATTTCACAAAGCTAGGCAAAGAAATGAAAATTTGAGCTGAGTGATAATAAATTGATAAGTGACACACTTCTGAAACCATACTTCCTCTTTTTTTTCTCATCTATTTTATCCTGCCTTTAAAAAAATCACATAAGCACATGTTGCATCCAAAGTGTTGTGTGTGTGTGTGTGTGTGTGTTTTTTTGGCAAGAAATAAACCAGTTTATTTTTTTTTCTTTTATTAGTTGTTCAAAACCTTAGTGTTGTGTTTTTATGAAGCATTTTTTTTTTTAGTTGTAGGTGGACACAATGCCTTTATTTTTATTTACTTCTTTTTATGTGGTGCTGAGGATGGAACCGAGTGCCTCACACACACTAGGCGAGCAATCTACCACTGAGCCACAACCTCAGCCCTGTGTTTTGTTTTTTGAATACTGGGGATTGAACCCAGAGGCATTCTATCTCTGAGCCATATCCCCAGCCCATTTTTTTATTTTGAGACAGTCTCACTAAGTTTGAGCCCAGGCTGGCCTCAAATTTGTAATCCTCCTGCCTCAGCCTCCTGAGTAACTGGGATTACAGGTGTGTATGCCACACCACATCTAGTTCCAAAGCATATTGTGATATTCAATACTTACCACTATATTTAGTGTACATGCCACAAAAACTCAATTTCACTCTACTGTGCAATTTATTTTCTGGGTGAAAAAGAGCTATAATGAGTTAAAGGAATCTCACATTCCTAAACAGTTAACCAGTATCTGGAGGAGTGAGCATGGGAAGAAGTGTTATAGCTGAATAGAATTAAAAAAGAAAACAAAACAAAAAAAACCCCAAAATTTCTAGAGTCCTAAAGTATATGAGTAGGTAATGCCTATAAATTAGAAATGTGTCATTTTTCATCAAAAACTACAGATTAGCCAGGCACAATGGTTCATGCCTGTAATCCTAGTGACTCAAGAGGCTAAGGCAAGGACTATGAGTCTGAGCCCAGCCTGGGCAATATAGCAAGAATCTATCTCAAAAAAAAAAAAAAAAAAAAAAAAAAAAGCCACAAATCAAGCACCTGTATGCAATGTTATGGTAAACTTTACACCAAGAAGCACTATCCAGGTCTGGTGTTCATTCAGTTCTTACTGAGCAGAAGTCATTTGCATAACTTGCTTCCTCTAACAGAGTATCCTCTGTGACCATTACACTAGTTCCCGTCTGAGGAGCCACTGACCTCCAAAGATCAAATATCCAGGCCACCCCCCCCACCAAAAAAAAATGGTGAAGAAGAGAATAAAATACCTATACAAAGAATTAAAAGGAATCCTATATGCTATGAAGTCTATGAAAAATGATAGTCAGGAACTCTTCACATAACAAGACAGGAGAGTCCAGGAAAGGTGATACGGACAATGCAGGGAATAACATGTGCAGCTGGAAAGTGTATCATCGGACTGAAAATAGCTCCAAGAAGAAAATGTTTAGGGCATTCTGATTAAAGAAAAAAAAAAAAAGAAGAAGAAGCCATGTTCCTCAAATCAAATTTCCAGCGAACAGTCCAGGTTGGATGAAAGCTCTCACTTAAACTCTTTAAAGTACTTACCAGGTACAGTGTCACACACCCACAATCACAGCTACTGGGAGGCTGAGGCTGGAGGACGGTAGGTACAATGGCAGCCTGGGCAATTCAGATACACTCTACCTGAAGATAAAATTAAAAAGGGCCTGTGGCTCAGTGGTACAATCCCTAGTACCTCTGACACACAAAGTTCTCTGAGATTATAGTAAGTAGCATTAATATGTACAATTAATAAGCGTTAATAATAATAAAAAGTTCTCGGGACAAACTGAATTTTAACTTGGGGACATCTAGAAGGAAAGATGATTTTGGTTTCTCTATGACCTTTTATAAACAGGGTCCACAAATAATTTTACCCTAGCAACGAGTCCCAGCGGCTGCTCGAAATATTTCACACCTTGCTGGCTCTCCACCTTTACCCATGTCTCCTTTGCTTTGAAGCCCTTCCTCCTAGGCTCTAGTCCATTTATAATCCCAACCACAGAGTCAAATAGAAAGGGCACAGATTTCAGACTCAGATTGCTTGAATTGAGCCCTCCTTCTATCTGTAGGACCTGGGTCCATGTCTTTAATCTTTCTAAACTTCACTTTCTCTCTGTCTCCTTCAAGAAAATCTCACTTAGCAGAAGGGAAGATATCATTTTCTCACAAATCAGTCCTTCACCCACTTTTTCCCATCTTAGTAAACAGTCCCACCTATCTGATCAAGCCCCAAACCAAGAATCCCTTCTTCATTCCCCTCTTTCTTTTCAAACATACAATCCCTCAGCAAGTGCTCTCAGCTCGGCTTCCAAAATAAACTGCAAACTGTTCAAATTTCTTCCATTTCTACTGATTCCACCCTTATCTAAGTCACCAGTGCTTCTCTCTGGCTACTTTAATGACCTCCTAACTAGTTTCCTGGCTTCCACTCCTGCCCTCTACAATCCATGCACTATATAATAGCTAATATAATCTTCTAAAAGCACACTTCAGATCTTGTTACTCCCTTGCTAAAAACTCAATATCCTACCATTACCACTTAGAATAAACTTCAAATAACTGCCCTGTCTGAACTCTGCTTGCCTCTCTGATTTCATTCTCTATTTTTCTTTCCTTCACTCTGTGCTCTCTAGGCACCCTGCCCTTCTAATGTGTTTCTTATACACGTTCTTAAATAAGACCTCATTCCTGCTCAGGAACTCTGCACTCGCCATTTCCTCAGTGCGGAATACCCTTCCATGAAGTCACTGAATCACTGGCTCCTTATCATTCAGGCCTCACTCACATGTGGCCTCCTCAAAAGGGTCTTTCCTGACTACCCCAGCCAGTGCTCTTCCTGCCCCTGTTTTCACGTTTTCCTACTTCTTATCTCAATCTAAAATTAAATAGATCCTTTCCCTTTTTTATTGGGCTCTCCTCACTAAAGCTTCGAGAGAGCAGAGATTTTGTCTCCTGTGTTTGCCACTTACCTCCAGTGCCCAGGACCACACCTGGCACATGGTGGATACTCATGAAAGTTTCTGTTAAGTGAACGAATGACTATTAAATATCTACAATATGAAGTGACAGTTACTCTTAATAAGATTTTGAAAAAGTGCTATGAAAACACATAGAGAAAGTCATTTGTTTCCTGAACTGCTTGGTAGATTCCATGTGAGAAGTAAAGCCTGGATTCTTTAAATTCTCCTAAATCATGCAGTCTGTCATCTCATTCTCAAATAATTGAGGTTATTTAATTCTTCCTTGATAACAAAAATATTAAACTACTTCTTTTATCATTCTTTCCAAAATGCTTCTGGACATATGCCAGTAAACACTGTTATCTTCTGTTACAGAATAACTTAAAAGAATTAAGACTGGAGATAAACTTGGTCATTTAGAAAAATTGTTTTAAATATCAAAAAACTAAATTTAGAAATAATGGCTAGATTAGAATTGAAAACGTAGTCTTGAGCTACATTAATGTTATTTTAAAAATTACTTTCTCTAGCAAAAGCACATAATGGAAACATTCATCTTTTACTACAACACTTAACATTAGTTTTTTTTTTTAAAACATCAATTTCCACAGTTCTTCCTTCTTTTTTCCACTCAACCCTCAATGTTTCACAAATATCCTCAAAATTTATTTTGTGGTAGAAGAAAAAAAAAAACAGCCTGTTTTAATCTTAATAAGATGCAGCAAATGCACTTCATCTTGTTCAGTACCATTCTGCAAATTCCTTAAAATAGAATTCTCCTTGGAAACACAAATAATTAAAAATCAAACATCTAATACTTCTGCAAATTTCCACTAACTGTATTAAAACCAAGTTTTTTTTTAACTTTCAACTGGTGTAGACAATAGTATCCACACTTTATTTTAGCTTACAAATGAAAATGAGTTAGGCAAAGCATTCAGACACCACTTTAAGAGTATAATTAAGTCTGAAAAGCTGAACTGATAACTAACTACAAAACTGGTAAGTAACAATGTCACACAGTACAGCTATAATTTAAGAAAATATCAAGTATTAAGGTCGAAGTTTATATTAGAAATAACAAAATGGGGGTTTACCATTTAATGATAGCAGCTAAGTATGGTACAGTCATCCCTGTGTATCAATAGAGGACTGGTTCCAGGACCCCTTGTAGACACCAAAATGTGAGGCTGTTAAGTCCCTCCTATTGTATAAAATGATGTAGTAATTGAACATAACCTCCACATATTCTTCCACATATCTGAATCATCTCTGGATTACTTATAACATCTAGTACAATATAAATGCTATGTAAATAGCTGTTGTATTGAGGGAATAAGTCTGTATAATATATCATTATAGATACAGTGTTTTTTCAAATGTTTTCAATCCATAGTTGGACTCCAGATGCAGAACCCAAGGATACAGAGGGCCAGTTGTACAAGCACTTTTCCACAGAAATTTACTATCTGCTATTCCTTTCTATTTCAGAGCCTTTCACTTATGTATTCCATATGATTATTTCAAATTGTTTGAAAATTTTGCTGGGTATGTAGCTTAGTGGCGGAATGCTTACCTAGCATTTGCAAGGCCCTGGGTTCAATCTCCAGCACAAAGTGCACGCACACACAACACATTTGTTGAGAGCCACAACCGAAGCAGCCCCAGCAAACTTCTAGCTGATTGGCTCACCGCGGCCCCAGCAACCAGCTGATTGGCTCCTCTGCGGTGATGCTCATTGGGCTGTTTCCCCGCCCTTTCAGAACATGGAGCTGCTCATTGGGGGACTCTTTTGGCTCCGCCCACGTGACCCAGCCAATCGGCCTCAAGAGCGGGAAGAGATTGGGGGAGGTGTTCACAGGGAGTGCCTGAGGTGGCAGTTGGTCTCTGAGGGAATTCCTGAAGAGCTCATGTGGTGCTGCTTGTGTGTTCTAAAAATAAAGTTCGTTTCTGCTTGATAAGTGGCTTGTAGATTGTGCCCAGCCAGACTGTGGCATTTGGTGGCCCGGACAGGGAACACCTGAAGCTTGGCAGTAAGTGAAATTGCTCACCTCTGAGGAAGAGCGAGAGAATGGGTGACCATTTTAAAAAACAATCTGTTCTTGTTTTGATTTATTTTGTTTTTATTTCAAGTTGCCTGTCCCTAGAACTTTTCCAGGCATACTGGGGAAAGTGGTTGGCTCAGGGTTTGAAATTCTTCGGCCCTAGGAAGAGATAAAGATAGACCATGAAAATACATTTCAATAAAATAGGAAAATTGATACAATGATTTTTTGTTCTGTTTTTGTTTCATTCTGTTTCGGTTTTGTTTTGTGTTATCTTGTTGGGTTGCGTTATCTTTATAGTAGATTAGAAATTAGCAAAAAAAACAAACCGAAAGAGTGTTAAGTAAATTATTAGAGGTTCAGACTATGGTAGAAAACATGTTAGATCAAGCAAAAGAGAAGGTCTCTCGAGCTAGTCAGACAGAGGAAGAAAATTTAAAGGAGGAAGGACTATCAGGGAAAAAGTTACAACAGCAGGCTGCTACTAACACTGTACTATCACCAGAGGGCGTAAGTGTCCAACCAACAGCTCTGCCTCGATATGCGGATAGATGGGATCCTGAGACAGGACCTCAAAGATTGGCATGCCCCGTATTTGAGCAGGCAGAAGGGCAGCGAATTCACCATGTTTTAGATTTCAAAACAGTGAAGCAGCTAAAAGAGGCTGTAACAACCTATGGTCCTCAAGAACTCTTCACTGTAAACATGGTCGAATCCATTACCAATTTGAGCATGATGCCAGCAGATTTGACTAGTATGTGTAAAGCTGTGCTAAATGGAGGACAATACCTGTTATGGAAGGTTGCCAATGAGGAATTTTGCATGGAGACAGCTAGGCAAAATGCAGCAGCTGGTTATCCTCAGAGAAATCTAGATATGTTGTTAGGAAAGGGACCTTATGAGGGTCAGCAGCAACAAATTGCATATGATCCTGCCATATACTCACAAATTGCTGTAGATGCGGTTAGGGTATGGAAGACTTTACAAGGACATGGAGGTTTACAAGGTCAATTATCTAAGGTAATACAAGGAGCTAATGAACCTAACACTGAATTTGTAGATAGGCTTATTCAAACAGCTACCAGAGTTTTTGGGGATACAGAACAAGCAATGCCATTAATAAAACAACTGGCTTATGAGCAAGCAAATCGTTGGTGCAGAGAGGTCATTAGACCATGGAAACATGAAGATTTAAACACATATATTAAATTATGTAGAGACATTAACAGGCTTTAGATGCCAGGCCAAAAACATGCTGCAATTGTGAACAAACAGGACATTTTAAAAGAATTTACCCCATAGAAGGAGGGTTTAACAATACTAGGTATCAAAGGGGTAGAATACCGGGTATTTGCCCACGATGCCGTAGAGGAAGACATTGGGCTAATGAATGCCATTCTCAAACCACTATAGAGGGTACTCCATTATCAAAAAACATACAAGGACCAGGTGTTTACCCACGATATCGTGGAGAAAGGCATCAGGCTCCATTGCCAAAAAACGGACAGGGGGGCTCAATGCTCCAGGGCCCACCACCACAAATATACGGGGCACTGGAGGAACCCAGCAACACCATCAGGGTAGTGCCCAGGACACATTATCCATTAGATCCCTCACTAGACAAACCAGAGGA